AGGCGCCGTAGCCCATGGCTTCAGCGAACGGTAGGTAGCCCCCCCCGGGTTTCCTCACAACGGCCCCCTGAGGCCCGGCCCCCTTGGCCCTGGCCTCTACCTCCTCCTTGCGGCCTCCCTCCGGCCGTGACAGCATTGTAAGTCCTCCCCTGGCTAACGCCACTGTCCTCCTCCTCTAGTCCCCACTCAATCTGCTCGTAGGGGACCTCGTCGACACCACCCTCATCTAACGTAAGGATCAAACGATCCTTGGTTTTGACCTCACCCGATATGGTGCGACCCTTCCACTTTTTACCCTTGTCCAGGTCCTTATGCCAAAAAGTGGAAATTGACATGGGCCTCGCTTCGAACGCTACCACTTCCCTGCTCAAAGCGTCGTAGGTCATGGTAGGTTGCTGACTATTTTCAAAGAAATGCCCGCGTAAGTGCTCTGGCATAGCACGGTAGAAGAGGTTGACCAATTGGGTCTCAGTGGCCCCATGGTCAGGAACGACGACCAACTCATCCATCACACCCTTGAGTGCCCTGGCACTCCTCCACTGTCGAGAATGGATGGTTTGCAGCTTATCTGAAGCCTTGACACTATGGGTCACGTCTGCAAACCGTTCTCTCAGTAACTTAAGGAAGTCACTGAGGGGAGTAAACGCGGAATATGCAACCAAATCATCATTGCAGTTGGCGGCACGACACAAGGAACGGGTGAAGCTTGCTGCTTCGTGTCGAAGGGCATGGATAGCTATTAGGACATGCTCGTCCGGGGCAACTTTCTGTAGGTGCACGTACGTCTTGACATTGGCTTCCCAATTGTCAAAGTTTTCCTCCTTCTTCCCACTATAGGAGTCAGGGAACTTGACCTTGACCGGCTCCCTACGGGGACGTACTTCCTCCTCCTTGGGGGCAGTCAATCTGGCGCCTTCTATGGCGCCCGTACAGTAACGTTCCGTGCCCTCTAGGCGGACCCTCACCTCTGAGCCCACCTGTGTTGCCAACTCCCTTGCGAAGTCCCTAAGTCCCAGCCGTATAGAGCGCACGGCGATATCCTGACCTCTACCAAACAGATATTTCTCTTCCTGGACTTGTGCCAGGCGCTCTATGTTCTTCGCCATTATCTTCATCTTTCCCAATAAATCCACCTGCGTTGCCATCTGGTCTCTCTGCTTCTTTACCTCCTCCAACGCTTTCGCTGCCTCACTTGCCGCCTCCATTCTCCTTTTTCTTTCCCTCATCGATCGGAATTTCCACTCCATCCTCTTCTCATCCTCCACCGCCTGCCGCTTGAGTGGGTCTTCTTTTGCATCCCATTCTCTTATGGCCGCCTCTTGTTCTTCCCTGGGCACATACATTAGTGCCTCCTCTTCTTCTCCCAGGGATAGACCAGCAACCCACTCTGTAATCTTCTTCTCCATCTGGTCCTCCTTGGTACCACTGGATTCTCCTCCTTGTCCCCTTCTTCTCCTCTCCAGTGGCGTTTCTTCTACCTCTTCCTCCTCTTCTACTGCCTTGAGCTTCTCTTCTTCTTCTCTCTTTAGCCTCTCTTTTTCTCTAGCCATCTCCTCGTCAATCTTTTTCAACTTCGCCGCCCGTTCCTCCATTAGGGACTTCTTCTTGGCCTCCTTCTCTCTTCTCTCTTTCAGGCGGGCGGCGGCTTTCGCCTCCTCTTCTGCTGTGTAAGGCTTAGTAGTTGTACCACCCCTCGTGTCTACTCTGCACGTGAAGGTGTTCCAAAATCCCAAAGGGAAGAGGAGACGCCAGAGGGTCCCCCACAGGGAGAGCCCCACAAGCAAGCCGTACATAGGGTAATCGTCCATGGTATTAGGTGCNCCAAAGGGAAGAGGAGACGCCAGAGGGTCCCCCACAGGGAGAGCCCCACAAGCAAGCCGTACATAGGGTAATCGTCCATGGTATTAGGTGCACGAAAGAGACTGTCCCACTCCTCACCGCTTAGACCTACCCTCTAACTGACACGACCTACTGACTCAATCTAAGGACCACAAGATCCGTATGGAACCCTGTCAACCATGGTCCCTAGCCTAGACTCTAATCACTTCAGCCGTCACTGCAGAACGTGTTGCTGACCAGGAGGCATTTAAGGAGATCCCCCGTAACTCCTCAGGAATTCTTTAACGTCGCAGACAGGATGACGCGGTCAGCAGGTTCTCTCAAGGCTTAGACGGCCCGTTGTGCAGCCCACAACTTGGATTTTGGGCGTACCGTGCCACACCGAGCAGCCCGCCGGTCAGTACCGGTCCTTGGGAGGGTTCGTGTCCTCCGGGACAGTCGAGTCGTCAGACATAGTCTTTAGCCCTACTCAGCCCGTGTAGATTTGGTCAACGAGGCCCTATCCTTCATACACGGAGTCCTATCACCTGGACAAAAGAGACTCAATGCAAAAAGAAGAGATAGACAAACTCAGACTCAGCAAGTACCATAGGGTGAGTGCACATCCATAGGGCGAAGGGATAGGCTAAGGGCTTGGCGAGATTATACCAACTCCAGCTTGGTCAAACTCGTGGTCAACGGCTCCAGTCAACCCTCCGGTCAACGCTCGGTCAACCTCCAAGTTGGCTATGGCTGCCGGCACCTTCTTCCTCGCCACCCTTCACTTCTCTTTCCCTCTCCTTCACCTTTCTTCTTCCTCCTTTTCTTCCTTTTTATTTTATTTTATTTTTTTTGTT